CACTTATCTTAAGCTAGGTGTATCTTCATGTCAGAATCAATGCCCTCTTCAGGAATCGGGCCCAGCAGTGTTTTCTCCAAGTCATAACAAATTGTCCAGTTAGCTACTGAGTGCAACTCTGCTAACAAATACTTGTAGCCTAAAGGCAGCCTTGTGTCAATTCTTAAACATCACTAAATGAAACTGATTGACTACAGTGCTTAACATTATTGAGAAGGGTCAAACAATATATTTAAGGGAAGTTTTCATAAAAATTGTTTCCGAATAATTACACCAACAGGATAGCCCGAACACTAAATATATTTTAATTTTACAACGAATAAATATGATTGCTAAAACTTACTTTCAAATTCATGAGTTTCTACCGACTGATATTTCTCATTCCGTCTAATAAATACTCAGAAGCTAGGTGAGGATGTTAGATCCCTAGAACTCGCTTGATAAATGCCTTACCTGGTGACGAACGTAACAGAGGTATATATATATATATATATATATATATATATATATATATATATATACATTGAAAAATTCACTCTAGATGAAAACAGCTCTTTTTATTGTATAGTAAGTGAATAAATGCTTTCTGCCCTTAAACTTCTGATTAAGATCTACAGTCAGACTTCAAGAAATCGGTTTCTGTTCACTGTTTTAGAAATATCGTGGCTTTTCTTCAGTTATGATTTGAAATATTGGAGCATAGTGATATGCTTGAAACTAATACGGGTTCACCTTACTCGGTAAACGCAACAAAGATTACCGATACGATGAAGCGATAAGCTATTCTAATCTGTTGTCCCAGCACCGGTTAACTAGATTAACCAGTCTCGACAAAGCACAGAGAGTGTATTCTGCAGGCAAGCAGAAAAGTTTAAATTTCTAAGCACATGACTCAAGCTTATTTATACAATGATACCAACGATATTGGGAGGGTTACAAAATGATCAGTCAACCAATAACAATCAAGGATTTCTCGAATGGGAAATGTAGGCTGAAGGTCAACTAAGCGTCTTTGGCGCGGTAACGTAAAAATTCAAAATTTCCAAACGAAATTACAAAATTAGAGCATTTTCCTAGTGAGATCTGATGATCTAACGTCCCCATTATTTACTTAGTGTTAGAATGAGAATTGATCATGAATTTGGACGACATGATATTTTTGTCATTGCTTACTACTGAATTACTACTTATTACAATCTGATTGTATTATGTAAATGTTTCCGATAATTTCAAATTTATATCGTTCAGTGATTAGACAGCATAAAATTCGTGAAGCTACATTATTTAGAGAAGTGATGCTTAGGTGCAAAATGTGGTTCTATTCATTTTTCTGTTAAATCGCTAAACTTCATCAGTTGAGGTGGTTGGTACATGTGTTACGTATGCGTAACCACCAACTGCCTCGACGAGCTATGTTTTGTGGTGTAGGAGTAGGTTGGAAGAAAGCAAGGAAGGGCCAAACCAAAACATGGCACAAATCCATGAAGTCAGTGACAAGTGGACTGAATCATGTTAGTAGATGTAGGCTCTACCTGGTTAGGGTCCACGAGACGAAAGTCACCAACGGTTAGAGACCTTGAATGACATGGCTCAAAATCGTTTGCAATGACGCAGGTCCATTCACTCTTTATGTTCTATGAAATTCTACTCTTCTCAATTCCTCATAATCACTACCTTACTCCTTCTAAATTTGTCCCACTGAATTATACTTCTCGAATCCTATCTTCACTCCCTAATCTTCTCCATTACTGCTAATACTTCTACTATTGCTATCCCTCTTGGATTTGAACTGACAGTTACGTCTCTGTGCTGATGTAGTATGGCAACCTGAACTGATGTACTTACGTACGAAGTTCTGCGTTGTATCTGTCTGTCTGTCTGATGAGTAAGAAACGTGAAGAAATAAATTTCCAAGGTCGAACACCAATGAACTATTCATAACTAGTATCTATCATGTTTGTTTTTTACTTTCTACATTCTCTTTAATGACATATTCTTATTAAATAAGTAATATTTCCGAATTCACGTTCATTTCACTTGTGTGAAGTGTCAGATCTATCAATCAGCTTTTACTGTTGCGAAATTCGTTGAACACTTATAGCATTGGAATTCAAGTTTTATGGATTGTGTCTGATAACTTTTGGATATGATATTTAGCACAAATTAACATACAGTCATGTTAATATGAACGGACTCATGTGATCACAATGAATAAACATGAGTATAAATGTAGCTGCAATGGTTAGTCGGACTACGGAATACATTGAAAAGTTATTATTCTACAGAATTTTTTCTTAAAAATATTAGAATATAATAATTATTTAATATTTTTATATTTTATTATATAAATTAACCCTCTATTGTCAAACGCAGTTTCACACTGATTTTCAGGAGAACCAAGGAGACTGCTCACGTGTTAGTATTTCGGCATGAAGAGGTCGGCTCAATCCTGTAGTGCAACCGCACACAGATTCCTGATAACCTGATGGACCATTCACACCATTTACATATATACACACAATTTTATATATATTTTCGATCAATGATCGCGTCAATCAATATGCACCTCATAAACAGGCTATTTCCACCCATCTCGCTTACATAACTGTCACAAACTCATTATCATTAGCAATGGTGATATGCAGCAATACAGCACTTTAATGACAATAGCCGTCGAGAATGTTGCAATACAACCGTAAGCATTATCAATGAAATCAGTCACCCTCCTAACCAATTTTGTATCTGAACTGTTAACAATACTTACCAAAGCAATGTCAACCCATCCATAATGTTCACAGTGAACTTCTTGTCTCATAGGAAACCTTCAGCTTCATACAGCTGCATACTTACCTACTTACTTACGCCTGTTACCTACAATGGAGCATAGACTGCCCACCAGTTTTCTCCAACCAACTCTGTCCTGAGCTTCCCTTTCTAGTTCTTTCCAGTTTTCGTTCATTCTTCTCATGTCTTTCACTATTTTTCAGCGTAATGTGTTCCGTGGCATTCCTCTTTTCCTTTTGCCTTGAGGGTTCCACGTGAGGGCTTGTCTTGTGACGCAGTTCGGTGCTTTTCGTAATGTGTGTCCTATCCACTTCCACCACTTCTTCCTGATTTCCTCCTCCACTGGAATCTAGTTTGTTCTCTCGCACAGTAGGTTGTTGCTGATGGTGTCTAGCCAACGAATCTAAAGTATTTTGCGTAGACAACTGTTCATGAATACTTGTATCTTCTAAACACCGCCAGTAAAATCTTCGAGGCTACTGCCGGTCCCAAGCCCGGATAAAGGAGGAAGGTTGGACATGGGGTTAGCGACCCCATCCCGTTAAAAATCTAACCAAAAAAATAAAACGCTAATCAGAAAAAATAGTAATTCAAACTATATAGCTGCATATCATAGAACATAATAGAAATTCAAGTCAATGCATTAGAGGAACATAATTAGTGTATTTCAATTAAAAATTACTAAGAGATATCCCATTGTAAAGAGAGAGAGAAATAGTACCAATAGTCGTCATACCATGATGATTACATTGGGTGTGTGTTAAATATATGCATATATATATGTATATAAATGTTAGTTAGTTAGTTAGTTAATTAGTTAATCAGTTCGATAAATCTTGTTTTAAAAACACAAAATCAAACTTGTCAAATCGATCGATAAATAAATTTTTAAAAAATTTAATGAACCAATTATAAATTTAATAAATAAAGCAGTAAAATATTTAATAATAATAATAATTAATAATAATAATTTTCATTTGATTTATTTTATATTTTTTGTGATTAATTTTTTTTCTTTTTCTGCATTTCATACCTCCTTCATGTTTTATTTCTTGTTTTACCAAGATGCATCAAGATAGTTGACACCTTTTTTTTTCTTGATGAAAGTTGACAGCATCAATGTGATTGTCATTTTATACTCTGTCTATATGTGTGTAGTCATAAATTCTCCATTAGGAATCAATGAATAGGTTCATGTCTCGTTGAAATTGTTTTTAAAAATGTATGCATATAAACATTGGACCGTTTTGCACACAAAAATTAGTATGTTCTGATTGAATATTGATTTTTATTGACAGTATGATAAGTGAAATAATACACAAACTGATTGATTGTGTCATTGTATGAAATGTGAATTTCGACGGAAGGATTTTTTATGAACAAAATGGACAAAGTCAGCCATTGTGTCTACTATATTAGAATTGAAAATTTTGAAAAAAAAATCAAGGTCATCCCTTTCATCGTTCATTTAAACAACAACAATAAAAATGATTCAATTTTCAATGTTTGAAAATGTATTCCATTGTGACAAGAAAGTAATCACACCGCCAAAACACAACATTTGGTGATGATTGTTGCATAGAAATTTTATGTACACAACTGTGTTTTTTTTACGTTATTGATAACTGATTTTGAATGAGATTTCTTTGTTTAAAATAAAAAGGAATGTCATATGACAAATGGATGAAAAGAAATACTAATTAGTTTTTTTTGGGAGTGTGTTTCGTCTGCATTATTACAAGGGGGACTCAACAGTCACAAATACACACACACACACTTCACACACATCACATAAAGGCAAACACACACACACAGAGTATGATGATGTTATCGATGATGGATGACGATGAGGACAATGAGGCTTATCGATGGCCGCTGCAATGCCGACGATGATGATTATGTAACAGTATGAACATGAGAATACTTATTTACTTAGTACATCTGCATTATTGAAATTCCCTGTTTTTGTTTCTGGTTTTTCGCTATGATAATTACGTTTTCTTTCAACAAAAAAAGAAGAAATATTCAACAATTCACAAAAAAATGAGCTGATCAGAAAAAAATTAAACAAAAAAGAGAAGAGTACAAACACATTGAATTGAAATGCGAAAATGAAGAAATGCAAGTGTAAACTCAACAGACTCCTTGTCAATGATTGAATTTGTCTGTAAATAGAATTACATATATGTATATATGTATATATGTATATATATCATTGTATACAATGAAAATGGACATGTAATTGATCCATACCATTCGCTCACAATAGAATGAAAATAATTGTAATCACATGAGGAATACCAATTGTTTAAATTGATTGGTTTGTTTAAACGTTGAACTGGTTATTGTTGTTCCCATCAATAATCGACTGATCTTTCATAATCGACGAGGACAGCTCACTCAACGATGGTACTAATGGGATGCCACTTGAACCAGACGGTGTAGTTCCAGCAGTTAGACGAGGTGGTGGTGTAATTTTTGGTTTTTGATCACTACTTATAATAGGATTGTTAGTAGTATTAGTAGTAGTAGGATTATTATTACTTTTGTTATTATTATTATTATTATTATTTTTCGGTGTATGCATAAAATGTGTCACTAAATCCACTGGTAATGGAAAAATGATTGTAGAATTTTTTTCAGCTGATATAGTACTTAATGTCTGCAAATATCGTAATTGTACAGCAAATGGTGATTGAGTGATCACATCGGCAGCTTCTTTCAATGCACGTGATGCTTTCCATTCACCTTCAGCAGCAATCACCTAGTATTTTATTGGAAGAAGAAAACACGTCGAGATATCAAATGGGGTTAAAGATGTGTTTTTTCTTAAATTAGACGATAAAAGCTTTATTCTCGACTGATTTTTCTTCGTGAAATAACAACCTTACTTAAGTATACTTTTTGCACCCGATGGAGCATGAGGGGCTGGATCTACAGTGGGTTTACTGCCGGCCCCAAGACCGAATGAAGGAGAAGCTTTGTGTTGAGGACGTTAGATCCTCAGAACTCGCTTGATAAATGCCTTATTTTTGGATTTCATATTTGCCAGTATGGGCTGATCAGTTGACCTTGAGATTTCATTTCCCACCAGGAAAATCCTCGGTTGGGATTAGTTGCTGTGTATTTTAGTGTGCTATTTTTGTTATTATCCTAAAGACGTTTCTATGATGTATACATAAAGGAGATTTGTGGGCTTGAATCTATTGTTCTTGCTGGTTGTTTGTAGAATATACTTTTTACGCTATATCAAGACTTTTGGCTAGCCATTGGATCAAGGTAGCCTACCTGGACAGTGGTTCCCTGTCTAGTTCGCTTTTATCGACTAAGATGAACCCGTAATAAGCATGGGGTTATCGATCTCATCTGGTAGAAAACTAACTCACTAAAGAAAGCACTAACCTTACTTATCTCTGATAAATACTTGTTGAAATCAGCTGACTTTTATTTATATAAACTGATAGATAATTCTGATAAGAACTGATTTTGCAAGTTTGTTTTTACTCTCAAAAAATATGTAAGATTGGCAACGTCAAATAAGTGAATTTAATACCATCTTAATCAGTGGAAATCTTATTGATAGGAATACTTTTTGGTGTGATATATGTTGTCAATCAATTAGATTAAAATGAAAAATATATACAGATTATCATTGCAGTTAGGACAGCTATAAAACTGGAACTTTATCATAGATAGATGTGCATATATACACAAACAACACAAACTGAACTACATCACATGTTTCATTAAACTGATTTTTAAAAAAATAAGGAATTTCATCTTTGATTATATTTTTATATATTGTTTATTCATGTACTACTACTTATGAGTAAACAAGCAGCATTTATATATTGTTTTGAAAATCATGAATCGATCAATGTTAGACTACTATTCAAAACCTGAAAGTACTATACGCATATTTTGTACTGGTATGTTACTCATCAGCAGTGCACATCCACGATTCCTGCTAATCGCAAGATTCTAACTCAGGACCTTCGGTTTTGTGCGCTAATGCCTGACATATGGGCCACTGAGCTGGCCGGTATCTAACAGTGTTATTGTTTGACTTCGATCAATCCACGGTTTTGCGCAACCTCAGTTTTATGTATGTTGACCTATATAGTCCAGCAATTATTTGGTAGGATTCTTTAAAAAGCAAATATATAAAGTACACAGTTTTCATCTTTGTAACATGTATAAACGATTTCTCAAAAGAAGTTTACCAGCCGTTTACACTTAGAATTTTTATTTGATAGTATTAGAGTAACTTGTCAAAAAAGTAATATAGTTTTTTATATGATTGGAATGAATTTCAAATTTTTATCTTCAGAAAAAGTGATGACTTTCAAGTGAAGATCTTTTGGTGACCTGCGATCTGACTCAAATATTTATGAACACAGTTAAATATTTCCGAATATCATCCTTAGGCTGACACCGTTTAAGCGATGGCTGAAACAAGAAGCCAAATACGGATTTAGTTGGATGAATTGATTTCGGATTAGCGTTCGTGCAGATAGACATGAGAACGAGAAGTGTATAAGCAGAGAAAAGAGAAGTGGAGACGGGGGAGCGAGTCAGCTCAATACAATGCGCCATGATTAAGCATTTAAAATCAGACAAAAATAAGCCTGACATAATACGATAAGTGAAGTAAGCGTGAACACGCGCACTCAAATAGAAACCACGAAGATATGAACGAAGGATTGACAATGTCAAAATATAATCAGTTTCTTCGACAGGGGGAAGATCATCAATAATACAAAAAGGCATTGTTCACTCACTTTAGCTCGAGCTTCTCTAGCTGCCTCTGCTTCAGCTGCCATAGCACGTTGCAATTGAACAGGAAGACGTACATCTTTACTAGCAAATGAAAATAAAACAATTTGTTATTGTACACAATTTTAAATTGTAAATTATAAGAAAAGAAATGATAAGGATAATGTTTTCAGATGGTTAGGTTGCTCCAAAATCCTTAGATTGATTCGATTTAGACACTGATACCCTTGGATGCCAGCTTAAGTGTCCTGAGGTTAGGCGATTGTTCGCATGACCCAAAGTCCTGAGTTTAAATCCTGTGAGTAGCAGGTCTCATAATTACTTACTACCACTGGTATCATAGTAACTCTGCCTGGAGCCATTCTTGGGCTACTGCCGGTCCCACACCCGGGAAAAGGAGAAAGGTTAGGCATGGGGTTTAGAGACCTCATGTCGTAGATAACTAACTCGCTGAATAACACTAATTTCATTCTGCTAGACTACTTTATGAACCATAATACTAATTATCTGATTTTTTTTTTATCATTGACAACAATTACAAAATGATCAAATTAAATGTATCACTTCAATTATTAACAACTTACACTTCAACACGTTCCACTTTTACACCCCAAGGATCTGTAGCTTCATCTAACATCGTCTAGTAAGAAATGATAAGTAAACAAGAGATAATCTGAGTTGAGGAAATGTATTACAAACTCAATAATAATAATAATAATAGTAATTAATAAAAATGATTTGTCCTCATTCACTTTAGTAGATGGCAAGATGGTGGCATTTAAGTAGTATGCCGTGGTTTATCACCTAGAAGTTGTTACTAGACAGAGGAGAAATGTCTGAAGACCAAAATGTATGCAACAATCAGAAGAAATTTGACAAGAGACAGACAAACATCTGCTTCTGTTACAAATAAATATTTGTAGATTGTGCACTTATGGCTAACAAACTATGGTCTTCTCAAAAAGTTTATATATAGATAGATAGATAGATTCTATTTGATCTTGACTTCGTCTGGACTTCGCAGATGACCTGGCTCTTCTGTCACAACAACAAATGGAAGAGAAGACGACCAGTGTAGCAGCAGCCTCTACAGCAGTAGGTTCCGACATACATAAAGGAAAAACCAAAATTCTCCGATGCAAAATAACATGCACCAACCAAATCAATCTTGATGGAGATGCCTTGGAGGACGTTACCACTTTTACATATCTTGGCAGCATCATCGACAGTTAAGGTGGATCGGATGCAGATGTGAGGGCGCGGATTGGCAAAGCAAAGGCTTCATTTCTACAGTTAAAAAATATCTGGCTGGAACTCCAAACAACTTTCAACCAAAACCGAAATCAGCATTTTCAATACAAATGTCAAGACAATTCTACTGTATGGAGCGGAAACATGGACAACTACCAAAGCCATCATCCCGAAGATACAAGTGGTTATTAACAGTTGTCTACGCAAAATACTTCAGATTCGTTAGCCAGACACCATCAGCAACAACGAACTGTGGGAGAGAACAAACCAGATCATGGTGGAGGAGGAAGTCAGGAAGAAGCGATGGAAGTGGATAGGACACACATTGCGGAAAGAACCTAACTGCGTCACGAGACAAGCCCTTACATGGAACCCTCAAGGCAAAAGGAAAAGAGAAAGGCCAAAGAATACACTACGCCGTGAAATAGAGAAAGATATGAGAAGAATGAACAAAAATTAGACAGAACTGTTAAGGGAAGCCCAGGACAGAGTTGGTTGGAGAAAACTGGTAGGCGACCTATACTCCATTGGGGGTAACAGGCGTAAGTAAGTAAGTAAGTATAGATTGTACACTTATGGCTAATAAACTATGTCTTGACTTCTTCGTAGGTCGCACAACTGTAAGATGAAAAGTAAAGTGACTAAGTGTTCCCAAAACACGTCTTTCTTTCTAGTTAAAGAATGCTAAGTAACTTCAGTATGAAAATTCAATGATATTCACACTGTAATCTTATATTTAAATGTATATATATATAGATAAATATTGCGGGAATTCCATGAATAAAACATTAGCGTAAAATGGACAAAGGAATCATTTTGAAAAGACTATTTTTAGATTAGTCGGTGAATTATATATACATATATATACATATATAACCGCCCTTAAATTATCTCACCCTGTAAACTGTTTACTCTTAAAAATAGCAAGAAAAAAAGAATTTTTGTTTTAAAAGAGACAGTCATTCACAGACTACTACAAGAAAACCAGACTTCCTACTGCCAACATTCACTTTTTATATTATAAAGTCAGCAACAGTGTGAATTGTTGTTACGGTGTTATTACAATGAATCTGTGAAAGTTTTGACTAAAAGTTTTTATGTTTGATGATGACTGGAAATAAACTTCATACCTCTCGGTTGGTTAAAATGCAACAGGTATGATTATTTTCACTGCAAAGCTTCTACTAATTAAAGTACTTAATATGAGTATACTGGCAATGGAAGGTTTCCTACGGTAGGAATTCCACTCTCTCCTGATGCGAATGCGTTACTTGTAGTGTAGTCAGTTATGATGGGAGAAAAGTTATACCATAGTGTAAGTCACACCTCCAAACAACCCCATAATAAACATTATTCCACATAACGTGCATTGCAATTTCCGTCATTACTGGCCAAGATACTTTTAGATTACATAACAAGGTCGAGTTTATCCATACTCCGTTTGACAACAACACAAAACACATATTAATTAATGATACAGTTCTATGGCACAAACTAACTAACTTACTTGCATCATACCAGAGATAGTATCACGTTCAGATAAAATTTCAGATAAATTTTTTGTACCTAAAACATTTCTTAATGTAGTTGCAGCAAGTAAACGTGTCGATCGATCAGCATCTTCAACATTAGTTATAGCTACAACTGGATTATAGATACGATAATAGACGACCGCATCAACAGCGACTGTGACCGAATCACGTGTAAGTACCTAGCAAATGAAATTGAAAATTGAATACACGGTGAACATTTTCGATGAATAAAAATCAACAGGTTTCATAAATATCAAGAAATTGATCAGTTTGAATAAAGTAATTATTAGTTTTATTGATATTATGAATCGATCTTTGGAAATTTGGAAGTACTAAGGCGGGTTGTTTTGTCAACATGTTTATCCTCACACTAGTCAATCTTAAAAAAAGTAGTGATTGAGTGTGTTGGGTATGTTAGATCCCCAGAAATCACTTGATAAATATCTTTATTTTGGATTTATTTCATGGACCGATCATGTGACTTAAAGATTACATTTCCCACCAGGAAAATCTATGGCTGTGACTGGTTACTGTGTCATTTTAGTGTGCTATTTTTGTGACTGTCCCAAGGATGTCTCTTTATAGAGTATAAATAAACGCAATTTGAGTGCAGGGATTCATTGTGTGCTGGCTGGATGGGTGTAGAATACAATTTCTACACTATATCAAGATTTCTTGCTGATTCAATTTGGTCAAGGGATCACAGTAGCCTACCTGTACGCTGGTTCATTGTTTCGTTCTCGTTATTCGACTAAGGTGAACTTGTAATAGTTTAAACTTACCTAGAGACGACCGTAACAGAGTGTACATTCAGAAAGAAGTGTTCTACAAAGTGAATTATTTTCTATTGAATAAAACAAAAAAACTTAAATTACACTGTGTGTCATGGATGATTTCCTGCTGAATACATGTTCACAGTTTAATCGACTTCGTTTCTTTGTGATTTTACACAGATAAATATGATATATGTGAAGATTTTTTTCAAATTTTAGTTACATGTTCCTTTTGTGTAAACATGTGTAAAACTAATAAACGCTTGTTTTAATCATTGCTTCCGTTATTTTGTTGTTTGTATTTTTTTCAGGAAATATTTTGAAATCTGATTACTCTGCCTCCTTCTAGTTCATCGTCATTGCCTAACGCCTTCTCTTTAAATAATTAACAAGAAGCATATTTCCTGTCAACATTTTATTTACACCTCCGTAAAGACAAAAATTCAAATATACAAATACATGCTTAGTTATCATTAAAACAATACAATAATTATGTCAATTTTCAAAATGAATAAATAAAATTTTTGAAAAAAAGGGGAAAAAAATCACTGTTTTGTTTAAATAGATATATAAAAAACGCACGAAATAATAATTTTTTGAATGAAATGTGACATTGGACATTTTTATTAGGAATTATGATGAACATATGGGGGTTTTTGTTAAATAAACAAAAATAATTTCAACTTTGATGAACTTATTTTTTAGTTCATGAGAAAAATTTGTTTAAAAAAGTAGGAGGGAAAAACAAGAAATTGTACGAAGTAATAATAATAATAATAATGAATATTTCTAAATGATAATTGTATATATATATTTTTTCATGATAAACTAATGAAGATTGTTATGAATTAATCATAGTTAGACAACCATTTGGAAACATGGAGGCACCACTGAATGGACGTTTCATACTGGTATGCGATTCATCAGTAGTCTGCATCCTGGACTTCTGCTACTTGCAAGATTCAGGTTTAGGACATTCGGTATCGAGCGAAAACGCCTAACTTCCGGACCCCTGAGCCGGCATAAGATGATGTCAGATATTTTCGGTAGGTAATGCCTACACCTGACAGAGTTGAACTCCACTAGTCACATCTTCTCACTAGAACCCAGAGAATTCGCTAAGGAAGCTAGTCACTTGTGTGCACTTTGTACGGGTTTAGATCATAGAGTTATGGAAATCAGTCAGTCAGTTGAAACGGAGAACTTCGTACGTATGTACATAAGTTCAGGTTGTCATACCACATTAGCACAGAGACGCAAATGTCAAATCAAGTACCATAGTGATAAAGATAGTAGAAGTATTAATGGTCATGAAGAAGACTAGGGTTTGAAGATATTATTAAAGAAGTATAATTCAGTGAGATAAATTTAAGAGGAGAAGGATGGAGATGATGAGGAATTCAGAAAAATTTCATAGAACACAACGAATGGATGCACTTGCGCCATTGCAAACAGTTTTGAGCTATGTATTTCAAAGTCTCTAACCATTGGTGACTTTCGTCTCGCGGACCCCAACCAGGTAGTCTACATGAACCAACATGACTCAGTCCACTTGTCATTGATTTCATGGATTTGTGTCCTGTTTTGGTTTGGCCGCTCCTAGCTTTCTTCCTACTCCTACACTACAAAACAAAGCTCGTCAAGGCAGTCGATAGTTAGCCATACGTAACACATGTCCCAACCACCTCAACTGGTGAAGTTTCACCACTTCATCTATTGGTCTGCCATTCTTACCTAGCACCCGGTTCCTAATAACAGCGTTGCTCACTTGGGTGTCCCAGGATACACGAGCAATGCTTCGGATACACCTATGATCGAAGACTAGTAACCTACGAATGTCCTCTACTCTTAACGGCCATGTTTCGCATCGGAGCGAACTGCTGTCTTTTGTTTAGCAAACGGATATCTCGCCTACGCAATAAATGGCGTAAATTGGCAAAAGCCAATCGAGCTTTCTGTATCCGAGCTGAGATTTCGTCACACACACCAGGCCATCAGCACTGATAAGACTTCCCAGATAAGTGAAGTGATCAACACGCTCGACTACTTCACTGCCTATCACTAACTAGTTCTAGTGCCGATGCAACTCAGTTTTGAAGTTATGTAAATGAATAAATCAGACTCTTAAATGATGGTCTAACAATGATTGATTCACATTTCAATGATAAAAAAATAACATGATTTTGTTTAAAATATTCAAATTATTTCTTTTCAAAATTAATTTTATATTCTATAATTTCATTATTTTTTTAATGATAATTAGAGGAGAGAAAAAAATTAAATGTTTAAGTGATATTTTGATTAAAAAGGAAAATTAATAAAGAGTTATTTATTTTATTTTTCAATTAATAATTTTAAAGTATTTTTTATTATAAGACTATTTTAAATTAATCTTACTTAGACATGATTAACAATACAGACAAAGTTGAAGTGTATGTGTTATGCACTTCATAAAGTTTGATAAGGCTGTATGTTATAATGTTGAGGGGAAGAATTTGGAATAGTCGTAACAACCCTTATACATGCTTACTTAGCTAGTTACTTATGCCTGTCACCCTCAACGGAGAATAAGACAACGACCTGCATTCTCCAACCTAATCTGTCCTCCACCTTCCGCCCAGTTTCTGTCCGATTGGTGTTCATTCTTCTGATGTATGTTTTTTCTTCTCAGCTCAATATGGTTCTTGATCGACCTCTTTTATTTTGCTCCTGAGGATATCAAGTGAGGGCTTGTCTTGCGATACAGTTGAGTGCTTTGCTAAATCTGTGTCCCATCTACTCCTAGTGCTTCTTCTCGATTTCTTCTTTCACTGGAATCTGGTTTGTTCTCTCCCACAGTAAGTTGTTGCTGATAGTGTACGCAGACAACTGTTAATACACACTTGCATCTTCTGGATGATGGTTTTTTGGTAGTTTTCCAAGTTTCCACCCCACACACTAGAACTGTCCTGATATTTGTATTGAAAATTCTGACTTGATAGTTGTTTTAAGCTTCAGATATTGTAACATTGTAGAAATGCAGCGCCTGCTTCGCCAATCCGCGCATTCACATCTGCATCAGATCCTCTGTGCTCATCAATGATGCCAGCCACTTATATAAAGGTTTCCACAACAAGTGTGATTTGGTTGGTGCATGTCGTGTAGTATCAGAGTGATACGTTCGTCACTTAGTATGCTTGAGGCTATTACGAGTTTACCTTAGTCGATAAACGCGAACGAGACTTTTACCAGCGTCCAGGTAGGCTACCTTGAATCCCCCCAAGCTGTAAAACGGAAAACTTGATAAGCGTAGAAAGTATATTCTACAAACACCCAGCAATCACAGTACAATCAAGCATACAACTCTCGTTTATTTATACAACATAGAAAATAGCACACTAAAATACATAGCAGACAATCACACAGTCACGGATTTTCCTGGTGGGAAATGAAATCTCAAGATCAACTAATCAGCCCATGCTGGCAAACGTGAAAACCAAAATAAGGCATTTATCAAGCGAATTTTGGGGATCTAACATCCCCCAACACAGAGAAATTTCACATTTCCCCTTGTTTATGTATATCCTTGAGAACTTTAAGAACTTGATACTCGCTAAGCTTGAAACTTTGTCATTAGTTAGAAAGTGCAATTTCCTGCAAAATGTCTTACTTAATTTCATATTCATTAATTATTATTATTATTATTATTACTATTATTATTATTATTTCTCCTTTGATTAAAATGAAATATTTATTAACCTATCAAAAAATCTATTTATTCTTCTTAAATCCAAATCATTGAAAATAATATTTCTATTTAATTTAATGATGAACATACACAATTTGTTATGTTTCAATTAATCTTAATTAAATTATTTGAAAATTATTTGAAAATGTGCTTTTTATTTCATAGTTTAAAGAGAAAAAAATTGATTTTTATTTAATAATTACTGAAATATTCTCATTAACGATGACATTCATTTTTAATTAGAAAATACAAATAGATTTTAAAGCAACTAACAGGAAATTACATTTTATTTTTTGACTAAAACAAAGTCATTTTAATGGAATACGATTTATGTTATGAAATCATAAAATCGATCATTGTTAAGCCATCATCATTAGAGACCTAGAAGCACTAAAAGATGGCTGTTTTGTCTTGATATGAGACTAACCATCAGTAAGCATCTATGACCCTTGTAACTCACAGGTTTCGGATGGTTGTCTAACATTGGTCTAACACACTTGGTTGCCACCGGCTCGGTTGTCCAGAAGTTGTACATCCGCGAGAAAGCTCGAAGTTCTTAGGTTCGAATCGTGCAAGTGGCAGGAGTCCTGGATGAGCACAGTTGATGATTGGCATACCAGGACGAAACGTTTATCCAATGCTTTCAGGTTTCTAATGATGGTCTTACACCGATGGATTCATGATTTCACAAAGTAACTCAAAAATCGCCACAACCCAATAATGTCAGTTTTATTTATCAATAAAATTTGAACATAGTTCATTTATATTGGTTGTATAAATCCTCGCAATAATGTTCTTGATTGTAATTGATTAGCGACATTTGAGATTTGCGTATGCTGTGTTGCTTACCTGGACACGCGTTTCGTCTATTCGGGACTCGTCTCTAGCCGAATGAACCTGTCATCTCTCATAGGTGATATTCACTTCGGGACTCGAACCCAGTACCATTAGTTTTAAACGTCATCATATTATCCACTTAAGTGCTTTGTCTTGATAGACACTCACTTGTGCAATGGGATAAAGATTAATTTATTCTTATTAATTACATGAATATTCTCAAACTCAGAGTGAACATCAACTCTGGGATTTGGTAGGTAAGTAGGTACATTCACATAAAGATAACGTCAAAATGGGACAACAAGTGAGTCCTGGATCGCGCTGCTAAATACAATCCGCTACTGTTTTTCAGAATAAAATTTTATTCAAATCATGAATCGATCAATTTTAGTCCACCTTTATAAACCGAAACAAGAAAACAGCTATCAAATCATGCTAACAATTCAACAAGCGTGTACATGGATATTCACTACAGAATTGTGTTGTACTAAGGCAAAGAAAAATGTCCATTGTTTTCACAGTATTAATGGATTAGTTAATTTAAGTTAGATTAGGATTCCGAAAAAAATAACTCCACCTGCAGCCCCTTCTAGGGTTAGTGCCTCTCTCAAGCTCGGATAAAGAAGGAGGGTTTAGGGCATGGATGGGGTTAGCGATTCCATCCTGTGGAATTCCAACTCGCCAGTAAAAACGCCAACCAGAAAAAATAATTCACTGATCGATAGCCTGTGTTTCATTAGGGGGTAACAGGCGTAAGTAAGTAGAGTAGAGTAGACTAAATAGAGTAGAGTAAGTATCAACATGTAAAAACAGAATGACACAACTTACTTCTTGTGGTGGTACATCAAATGTCACTGTTCTTAAATCCACTTTACGCATACGATCCATGCATGGTACAACAAAAAATAACCCAGGACCTTTTGCACCACCAGGAAGTATACGACCCAAACGAAAAATTACAGCTCTTTCATATTCTGCAATAACCTAAAAAAAGGAGAAAATGGGTGAGAATTTCCTTGAATAAAAATCAATTAAGACTAATGGATTTGATAGTTAGTTTTGAGATCAAACAGGAAAAAAAATGTATCCCTTATTATCAAAGGTAATTAATTCATAAATGTTGTTTTTTCATTTGAAACTGATTGAACCTTGATAAAAATTACATTATAAGTTGTGTTTAGATCATAGATCAGTAATTCTAATTCTGATCTATGAATAGATTGTATCAGAAATGAATAAATAATTCAGTGATATCACACACTCACTATGTAATGATCATTAGAAACGCGATAAAAGTATATTAGTTTTTTTCAAGTTTCCAAATAAAAATTGTGTTTTTTTTCTAGTGAATGTTAGTTAGATTGTGAAAACGGATTTCAACGTATTCTATTTAATCACTTAACATTGTTTGTCATTATTTTTAATAATCACCATGTTTAAAGTGTTATGTGTGTGTGTTTGAAGCTTTTTATGAATTCAAATTACAGAAGAGGAAGATATCAGAAAAGAGTCCTGAAACTGGATAGGATACACATTGAGGAAAGCATCCAACTACGTCATAAGGTAAGCTCTAACATGGAATCCACAAGACTAAAAGATGAGAGATGAACCAAAGTAAGTAATATGTCGAGGAATAGAGACAAACATGAGAAACATGAAGAACGAGTTGAGAGAACTAGCAATGAAGGCCCAGAACAAAATAGGTTGATGATACCTAGTCGGAGGCTCATGCTCCATAAAGGGTAACAGGCGTAAGTACGTAATTCAGAATATCTGTGGTGATTCTGTTGTCTTCTAGGCTCGATTAGCTTTTGCTAACCTGCGTCACTTATAGCGTAGGTGAGATGTCCGTTTGCTGACTAAAGGAAGAGTGTACTGCGCAGTAGTGCGCTCCGTCTTACTATATGGCTGTGAAACATGGCCAATGAGAGTAGAAGATATATGTAGGTTACTGGTTTTCGATCGTAGATATCGTCGAAGCATTGCTCGTATATCCTGGGACACCCAAGTGAGCAACGCATTTATTAAGAAACGGGTGCTAGGTAAGGATGGCAGATCAATAGATGAAGTAATGAAACTTCATCAGTTGAGGTGGTTGGGACATGTGCTACTTATGCCTAACAACCAACTGCCTCGATGAGCTATGTTTTGTAGTGTAGGAGTAGATTTGAAGAAAGTTAGGGGCGGCCAAATCAAAACATGGCAGCAATCCATGAAGTCATTGACGAATGGAATTAGCCATGTCGGTAGTTGTCGACTACCACCTGGTTGGGGTCCGCGAGATGATAATAATCGATGTTTAGAGACTTTGAACGACATGGCTCAGAATCGATTACAATGACGCAGGTGTATCCACTCTTTTTGTGTTCTCTCAAATCCTAATCTTCTGGATTCTTCAGCACCTCTAGTTTTGACTTTCTAAACTTATCTCACTGAATTATACTTCGTGAATAATATCTTCTAATCGTAACCTCTCCGATTACTTCTAATACCTTTACTACCTCTACTACAATTGGATTTGAATTGACAATTATATCTCTGTGCTGATGTGGTATGGCAACATGAACTGATGTACTTACCTACGAAGTTCTACGTTGCATCTGACTGACTGTATTGTCTTCTATCAGCGTACTGAGATATATTAGATAACATCAAAAAGTTTTGGATACATGTTTTTTCTTTAGTTCAGACTCGATAACAATTTATATCCACCGTTAAACCGAACACTTTAAAGTATCACAGTGAACATAACGTCATCTCTGAAGAACAATGACGATCAAATTTAACAGTTTCTAGTGCTTTTTTAAGTCAAATTTTCCTTATTGGATTTCAGACTATTTCCTCAGGGAATTTAGCTAACCAAAAAATGTGGAATACGATTGAAACTTATCAGAATAAGATTAAATTTTACACTATTCATCACTATCGAATTTGGTCAATTTGTGTAAATAATCTTAAATACTCACTACCAGAGCTGATAGTCATAGGTTTGATTATATTTGTGATGAAAAGTTGAATTATATAATCGGTTTTTCTGAATGTATTTAGATTTTCGATATCAATCCTGTATATACAAAATCATAACACTATAGTTCATTGTGAAACAGTCACTTGAATGGAATTTACCAAACTATATATCAACTTCCTTAAGTACGAGAAAGTATTTGGTGGTGTGAACTGGATGACACAATGGAGGCTTCTTGAACACAACAGAATATATTGAACATCATACAGAATTTTTATGATTCATTAAACTGTACTATCGTGCATGGTGGAAAGCTTACGTATTCGTTACAAGTGGTAAACACCGATCGCAGACATGGTCACTTACTCTCAACCTTACTTTTTCTCCTTGGTGGTTGATTGTATTCTGAAAACTTTAACAGTTTTGACGACTTAAGGGATGCAATGGATAGTTGAGATTCAGCTAAACTATCTAAACTTCACAGATGATCTGGTTTCCCTGTCTTACACACAAAAACAAGTGCATGAGAAGATAATCAGTGTGGCAGCAGACTCTGCAACAGTGAGTCTCACCATAAACGATACAAAATCCAAGATCCTTCAATACAACACAACATGAAACAGTAACCTTCAGGAACCAGCACAGCATCAATATAAAGATGTATGAAGATACAGTATTTTGGCCAGACATGTAGTTAATGACAGACACCTTGTGACTGCACGTTACATTGTAGCGCCTCGCATACATTTGAGTTTGTTCACGTTTAATTTGGTTAAGACCTTTGATTAACTTATTTTAACAATTAGAGTCATTCGTATAGCAATAAGTTATCTAGGCTGAGTCATGTTGGTAGATGTAGACTACCTGGTTGGGGTCCGCAAGACGAAAGTCACCAATGGTTAGAGACTTTGAACTACATGGCTAAAAGTCGTTTGCAATGGCGCAAGTGCATCCATTTGTTGTGCTCTCTCAAATCCTAATCTTCTGGATTGGTCAGCACCTCTACCTTTGTCTTTCTAACCATATCTCACTGAATTTTACTTCTTCAATAATATCTTCAAACCCTAATCTTCTTCATTACCATTAATACCTTTACTATCTTCATCACAATGGGATTTGGATTTGACATTTATGTCTCTGTGCTAATGTCTCTGTGCTAATGCTGGTGGGCGGCCTATGCTCCATTTAGGGTAACAGGCGAAAGTAAGTAAGTAAGTAAGCTAATGTTGTATGGCAACCTGAACTTATGTACATACGTATGAAGTTCTACGTTGCAACTGACTGACTGACTACCGTATCTGTACGATTGTGCTTGCATAAGCATTCAGACTTGAGCATCGCTTACTGTCTACATGTATATTCAATCTAATCGCTATATTGTTAGCCCCTTAAATTATTCGATGACTAATTTATTTGCCCATGCTTACGTATGTACATTTTCAATCCTGATCGCTCACTAGCTCACTTTCTCGCTCTTTAACAATCACACATCAATTTATTTTCACTTCATATGACTGAGGATTTGTAATCTGTGTATGGTGCGATAATAAACCTGATCAACTCTTCGTATTCTTATGATTTTTATACCGTTAGACGTTATCTAGTAACCGTTATCAGGATGAGCAGTATACGAAGTTTCAAAATTACATTGAATACTGACCGCCACAGAACTCATGAGCCCACATTTACCACAACATCATAAAATAAGGTACTCAATAGTTAAAACAAATATAAATTAGGAATAGTTTTTCATGTTTTGACGTAAAAAAAAACTCGCCACAAAGATAATTTACACCTACAAATGTGGCTTAACTTCAGTGTTACATCATTTACTGTGTGAAATAGTCACTGTACACCATTTTATGTAAAGTCAGATGCAGTTGTTTCTGTATAACATTTTCGTAGTTATTTGAAAGCTTCAAAACACTTGATAGTGTATTTTTTCTTGCTAAATTAAAGACTTATGCGGATTCGTTATGATAACTCAGTTCATTATCGACTGTTAGGGATGTAAGATCCCCAAAACTCGCTTGATAAATGCCGTATTTTGGATTTCCCGTTTGCCAGCATGGGCTGATTGGTTGACCTTGAGATTTCATTTCCCACTAGGAAAATCCATGGCTGTGATCAAGCTGCTGTGTACTTTAGTGTGCTGTTTTCTTAACTGTCTCAAGGACGTTTCTATGTCGTATAAATAAACGAGAGTTGTGTGCTTGATTGGATTGTATTTCTACGCTTACCAAGACTTCTATTTTACAGCTTGGGATTCAAGGTAGCCTACCTGGACGCTGGTAGAAGTCTCGTTCGCGTTTATCGACTAAGGTAAACTCGTAATAGCCTCAAGCATACTTAGTGACGAACAGAACACAGACTTTTTAACTTTCGCCTGTTAATGGATCATAGGCCACCTGGAGCCTTTCTGGGCCTACTGCCAGTACCAAGCCCAAATAAAGTAAGAGGATGAGGCACTACGTAAGCAACCTCATTCCGTAGAAAAATCTAACTCGCTTAAAAGAAGACACCAAACCCACACACAAAATTCAATATCTCATAACCAAAAACAAACTTACTCTAGTAGTAAAACATAACGATAATGGAAATGTGACAATCACCAATAGATAAGACAAACCCAATAGGATAAATCCAAAACAACCCAGATCTCCAGTAGCATCGGATAGAACTATAAAAAAAAAACCATAAAGGGAGAAAACATAAAATTTTGTTAGTTACAAACACACACACACGCGCACACACAGAAAAAGTTGCATAATTTACAAATTGCAAAAAACTATAAAAGAATAAAACGGATCAGTTTACTTTTTCTTTTGCTGATAAAAAAATTTGTTTTACCCCTACTCAAGCAGAATATGACCTGAATCAATCGGTTGACTGATTGATTAGATCAATGAATGATAAACAAGTTGGTTGAAATTTTTATCATTCGGCAAAATATATATATATATATATAAATATATATATCTTGATAAACTAACTGGAGGAGAAGATGAAGAAGACCGAATAATGAGATATTGAACTAGGTTATCGAGAATAAAATAGCATATACATATATATATATTCTTGATTTAGAATTTTGATTTTTACCCAAAAATAAAAGTGAGATTACCGTAAATGATTTGAAAAGGAAAAGGAAGAGCGGAATAAAAAAAGGCAATTTGTATCAGATTGATTGATATCTATGTATATTTTGAAATTTAGATAACAGTTTGATTGAGATGTATTTTGGTGGATACAAAATAACTGGTTTTTTGATAGTTAAATAAAAATTCTACTGTGTATGAATATTTCTCAAACTTCGCATGGAACACCGTGCTTGGATTACTGTCAGTCCTAAGCTCGGATAAAGGAGTACGATAATTTGGCATGAAAAGCCAACTTGCTAAAAAAAACAAGACGCTAACCAGCAAAAAATAATTCAAACCATTTACGAATATTTCTAAATCTTTAAATCTATCAAAATGATGTTCCTATAAACGAGTAAGTATAGTATGGATCTATGATTAACCATAAATAGTAGTAATCAGCATTCGAGGTAGGTATAAAGTGTAAGGCGAAGAAGTGACACTGAAGAAAATGATTGAAATTCTAAATATTCTGAGCTATTTATGGTTCAGGCCCTTTATTATTATAATCCTCAGCAGAATGTGGATAGCAATCCTGATTGAGACTTAACTTCAGCCAGGTGTACCTGTCACACCCTAAAGTTGATATTCATTCTGGAAGTCAATTCTAGTATGGTGTGCTTGAAATACCATTGTGATATCCACTTGTCGATTGAGTCCAGATAGTCATTCCTTTGTGCAACAGGTGTGCTATATAATTCATTTTAAAAAAGTCTGGATTATACCATGGTGATGTCTGCTATACGAGAATCCTGTGTAATATTTTACAGCTTTATCTCAGAAATCTGCGTCAGATGATCATATCAGTCAGTCAGTAACAATGTAGAAATTCGTACTTACTTACGTACACCAGTTCAAGTTACCATACCACATTAGCACTCAGAGATGCAATTGTCACCTCGAATCCCATAGTGGTACATGTAGTAGAAGTGTATTCGGTAGTCAGAAAAATTGGGGTTTGAATATGTTATTCAATGTGAAATAAATTTAAGAAGAGAAAGATGAAGACCATGATGAATTCAAATTAGAATTTAGGAGAACCCAAATAATGCATACACCAGCGCTATCTTATATGATTTTGAGTGATGTCATTCAACGTCTTAAACCACTGGTAACTTTCATCTAACAGAGCCAACCCGGTAGTCTATACCTACCAACATAACTCATTAAACTTGTCAGTCAGTGACATTGTGGATTTGTACCACAGGATGCTCATAGTCTAGCCAAAACTTATCGAATTTCACTGTCATTATTAAATAAAGCAAGAATCTAAACCATTTCAAATTGAACTTCATCCTCAGTATGTTATTATAAGACTAGCTGGATTATTTCTTTAACATCTTTAACATCAACGTTATTTTTCCTTCCAAGTTTTTCAGTTTGAAAAGCTAATGACAATAAGGATACTTGTCTACAATATAAAAAATAATATATGAATTTGTCATTTTCTTAGACAATGGGAAAAAAAATACGACGATGATGTTTGCGTGCAATCAAAATGACCAGAATATTTTCGAACTTTTAAAAATAAACATGTCTATTATTATTATTATTATTATTATTATTATTATTATTAGATATTAAAAAGGGCAAACGTTTTCTTTGTATAAGGCGATTATCAATAGATGAAGTAATGAAACTTCATCAGTTGAGGTGGTTGGTACATGTGAAGCGTATGCTTACCCACCGACTGCCTCGAAGAGCTTTGTTTTGTAGTGTAGGAATAGGTTGGAAGAAAGCTAAGGGGCGGCCAAACCAAAACATGGTAAAATCCATGAAGTGATTGACGAGTGGACTTAGCCATGTCGATAGTTGTCAACTACCTGGTTGGGGTCCGCGAGATGATAATAATCGATGGTCAGATACCTTGAATGACATGGCTCAAAATCGTTCGCAATGGCGCCAGTGCATATATTCTTTGTGTTCGCTCAAATCTTAATCTTCTGGATTCTTCAACACCTCTAGTTATGTCTTTCTAACCTTATCTCACTGAATCATACTTCTTGAATTAATATCTTTTAATCCTAATCTCTCCGATTACTTCTAATACCTTTACTACCTCTTCTACTATTGGATTTGAATTGAAAATTATATCTCTGTGCTGATGTGGTATGGCGACATGAACTGATGTACTTACGTACGAAGTTCTACGTTGCCTCTGACTGACTGTATAAGGCGATTATGAAAATTTACGAAAAATACACACACACAAACACACACACATCATTTCATAGGAAATAAACTCACTCAATGTTCAGCAGGAATGCAATACATTTCTTTTTTGACAAATACACAATTTATATGCTTGCACAAACACAGTGGTGATGAATAGATTAATTTTAGGATAATACTAATCAAGAAATAATAATCGTTATCATTTATTATAGAGTTATAAAGATTGCTGTCTCTCAATGAAATCATGAATTGATATAATTATTAAACCACTTTTAGAAACCTAGAAGAAACACTGGACGATCGTTTCATCTTTCTATGGAATTCTTCAGTAGTTCGTGTCCACGATTTTCTCTCACTTAGGATCTTCAGTCTCGCATGCGAACCCCTAACCTCGGAACCAGTAAGCAGGTCGCATCCAGCAGTTTAATGTCTAACTTTAATCTATCTAATGTGTCCATTAGTGACTAGCCTCATAAGGGAATTTTCGGAGTGAGAGTGAGAAGACATTACTAATAGAATTCAACACTGTTGAGATTGCGTAAGACCTTAGGCTTAACAGAGTTATACATTGACACCGTTGGATGCCTACTCAATGGTCTAGCCCATAGACGTTTATAGGCAAGACCGAAAGTTCTGGGTCCGATTCCCGTTGATGCTCACTGCCACTGATGAGTTTCATACTTACTTACTTACGCCTGTTACCCTCAATGGAGCAAAGGCCGCTCACCAGTTTTCTCCAACTAACTCTATCCTGGACTTCCCTTTCTAGTTCTTTCCAGTTTTCGTTCATTCTTCTCACGTCTTTCTCTATTTCTCGGCGTATTGTGTTTCTTGGCTTTCCTCTTTTCCTTTTTCTTTGAGGGTTCCAAACAAAGGCTTGTCTTGTGACACCGTTGGGTGCTTTTCTCAGCATGTGTCCTATCCACTTCCACCGCTTCTTCCTGATTTCCTTCTCCCACAGTAGGTTGCTGCTGATGGTGTCTGACCAACGAATCCGAAGTATTTTGCGTAAACAACTGTTAATAAACACCTGTATCTTCTGAATGATGGCTTACAGAGTTCTCCAAGTTTCCTCTCCATACAGTAGAAATGTCTTGACATTTGTTTTGAAAATCTTGATTTTGGTGTTAGTTGATATTTGTTTGGAATTCCATATATTTCCATACTAGGATGGAACAGTTATCCAGTGTTTCAAGAGGTTCTTATGGTGCTCTAACAATGATCGATTTTACGGATACAACGATTGATCGTCATTGCAACAGAACAAAATCTATCGTTTTATATAAATATCAATTGTGATAGTTGGAGGTGAATATGTGGAAAAATTTATCAAATAAACTATAATATATGTCAATAATTCAAGTTTTATTAAATTAATTATCATTTAAGTGTAACGCAAAACAAAACATTTTTTATCTCGTTCAACGTGTCAATTAATTCAGTAATCTTTTTGAAATAATTGTAAAATTAATTGACATTGTACACTGCATATAAAGATGAATTTTTAACAAAGTGAATAATTGGTTTAGCCGAGAGAAGAAACGTTTTTTTCTTTTTTCTAAAAAAAGAATCAAAATTTAAAACCAGATTGACTATCTTACATTTAGATGAATGAAGTATGAAATATAATTAGTGATTTTTTTAAACAAGACATGAAGTTAAAAGAATTGAACGTTTAACAACATTTTGATTCATTCTTTACTAAAAAAAATTTGAAATGAATGACAGAAACAATATTTTAATTACTTATCTCTTTCCTTTAATTCTAATTGTAATTATTATCGAGAGAACGGATCCGTTGGTCAGACAATATCAGTAACAAACTACTGTGGGAGAGAACAAAGCAGATTTGTTCAGTGGAGGACGAAATCAGGAAGAACTGTTGGAGATAGGTAAGATGCACATTGAGAAAAGCACCTAACTGCGTCAAAAGACAGACAATAAACTTGGAACCCTCAAGGCCGAAGGTAAAAAAAGGAAGACCCAAAAAACACATTACCCCAAGAAATGAAGATATATATACGGGAAGAACGAATAACAATTAGACAAAACTAGAAAGGAAGGTTGTAGAAAGGTGTAGGTTGGCGAATACTGTTAGGTGGCCTTTGTTCCATTGCGAGTAACAGGAGTAAGTTAATTAATTATCTCAAGAAAATAACAGCAATATCAGATTTAAAAACCGCGTGTTGATCGCTTCACTTATCTGGGGTGTCTCATCAGCGCTGATAGCCTGGTGACTGACGAAATCTCAGCTCGGATACAGAAAGCTCGATTTGATTTTGCTGATTTACGCCGTTTAAGGCGTAGGCGAGATATCCGTTTGCTAACCAAAGGATGGGTGTACTGCGCAGCAGTTCGCTCCGTT